TGGCATAAATTTGTCTGTGTATGGAAGCAATAAAGCTACTTTAAATATTTTTTTTTAATGTAGAAAATTATGTAGAAGGTAATTTCCTGTTTAAAGCAAGAATAATAGCAAGCATGATGGTTTTGCAGCATTCGTGGAAATAAAGGATGCCACGGGCCTTAACCCCAGCACTCAGGAGGCAGAGGCAGGCAGATCTTTGGTCTGGTCTACATGGCAAGTTCCAGGCCAGCTGGGGAAAAAAAAAAAAAAAAAAAAAAAAAAAAAAAAAAAAAAAAGTTGGGCCAGCAAGATGGCTCAGCAGGTAAAGGTAGTTGCTGCTAAGCCTGACAACCTGGATTAACATGGTAGAAGAATAGACCTGACTCCTATAAGTTGTTCTCTGTGCTAGAGAGAGAGAGAGAGAGAGAGAGAGAGAGAGAGTAAAAACTGAATTTGAAACAACAGCAGGGTGGGCAGCTTCTGAGGAATAATAACCAACACAACAAACGAAAGCCCAGCTATATGCTCCATTTTGAGCACAAGGCAGGAATGACTGCATGTTTGTGGGAGCAAATGACCATCATCTGTCTAGCACAAACCATGAGGCACAGACTCATAATAACTTATTTACACAAAGAAATATTACCACCTAAAACTTAACAGGAGCACACAGACAAGTAGACATTTCAAAGCCATATTAAAAAAAAAAAAACAGGTCTAAGAGCTTATCAAATGCATTAATGAATGAATGATGCAACCCCTTCACCCAGATCATTCGAAAAGGGAGACGCCTAATCTTGGGAAGTGCAGTGGTACCCACCAACTCATCATCAGATCCTTAGGGCCATGTGTTAGGGGATGGACAGGCAACACAATACTGAGCCTGTTCCTGGAGTTTCTGTTCAGCATGACCTCCTCACCCCTGCTTTGACATGGCCTACTGCTGTTTCATCATCCAGATCCGGAGAGCCTAGAACCAGCTTGGGACCTTGAACCAGCTCAGTGCTTGGCAGCCCTGTGTCTAAACAGTTCTGTGACGAGGTTGGCTTTGTCCATATCTTATCCCACCACCTGCAGTGACTCTCTTTGCATCCGCTTTTGCCCAGCAATCACTTTAACTCTTCCTGGAATCTATTCTTGTGTGAAGTGTAATGTGTGATCAGAGAGTGAACATCACTCATTAAGATAGAAATAAAATATCCTGTGTTTGCCAATGGCCATGAAGACCAAGTGAAATCAGTACTTGGTGAGTTAATGCCAATGAAATTTATGTATCTTGTGAATTTATTATCCAATAAATTATAACACCGTGGGAAGATACAAGCATGTTCACTCGTGTTTCTGACAACAGCACATTGACAATAAGGTAGCTGGAGCTGTGGGTAGCAGGGTGAGTCCCAGCTGGGAGATCTCAGGCCCAGCTGACCCTCATGGCCAAGGTTGGAAGCCTGACTTATCTTTCCACCTGCTTTGTTTCCTGTAGCTTTATCAGGAAGGGTGGAGAAGGTGCTACAGTTTGGAATGCCCACTTTTCCCTCTCCATGGGATTGGATCCAGGTGTTTGGGGAACGCTCCCCAGGCATAGCCAAGGATCTCTATCAGTGTTTAAAAGGCCTCAGACCTCAGTCTTGGCCTAAGTCTGTCCTTCCCAACATGCAGAGGCTGCTGATTTTGAGTGTGCTGCTGGGGACAGTCTTTGGCAATAAGAACTTTGTGGGGTAGGGGTGTAGAGAGGAAGGGGGTGTCTCTAGATGTGATGAGAAGGGTTTGTCCCCAGCCAGTGTGTAGACAGACAGACATGTGGTAACACAGCCAGGACATACTGGTACTGCCCTGGGGCAGCAGGCTGGTAGTGGGCTAGGGCTGGGAGGGGTTGGGCTCTCTTCTGAGCCCTAGAGAAAGCTGAGCTCTGAGAAGGTATTTTCAGAAGAGAAAAGATCAGGTTTGCTTGGAGAGAGAAACTAGTCTAAACTGGGATGGGGACAACACAAAAGTCCAGAAGCTTCCAAAGCCTCTATTTTCTCATTCTGGGGAGAGTTGGGGTACCCCAAGTTCCTCTCTTGCTCTGCCTAGGCACCAGGTGCTCCGAATCTTTGCAGCTGATGAAGCCCAGGTGCAGAAGGTGAAGGAGCTGGAGGACCTGGAACACTTGCAGGTTAGAGGAGGAAAACAGAATTCCCTGAGGACTCAAGGTCCCTCTTGGGCCAGCTGGGCCCAACCTAGGGCCTCACTACTCCCCTGTAGGCACCTGGTCCCTGGGCTCTGGCCCAGCTTCCCAGCAAAGAACCATGGAATTGATCTGTTGGGAAGTGACTTCAGCCCTGTCCCTTCTGATCTTGGTGCCCTTAAGCATCTGAGAATATGTCAGTATCCTTTTTACACTTTGTCTGCCTTGCTGCCTCAAAGCCTTTCAATTCTGGCCATTTCCTAAGCATACCAGACTTTGTCCAATTCCCAAGTTTTCCCCTTCTTTCTCTGCCCCCAACACCCATCCATATCCTCTGCTATGGGGGAGCTTCTGGCGCTAAACTCCCCTCCCAGTCTGGCTCTGTCCCACCCTGTTGCCCTGGTCAGTGTCTCCAGCCCACTGTGACAGTGCTGGCTCCTGTCCTTCCCAGCTGGACTTCTGGCGGGACCCTGCCGGGGCTGGCATCCCCATTGACGTTCGAGTGCCCTTCCTCAGCATCCAGTCTGTCAAAGTTTTCTTGGAATCCCATGGCATCAGCTATGAGATCATGATTGAAGACGTGCAGTCACTGCTGGAGGAGGAACAGAAGCAGATGTCTGCCTTCAAGACCCGGGCCCGGTCCACTGACACTTTCAGCTATGCTACCTATCACACCCTGGATGAGGTGAGGACAGCCCTGGAAGATGTTTCTCATAAGCACCATGCTCTTCATCAAGGCTGGCCTGACTGTACGTGGGCCCTACTATTTTCATGTGCCCAACATGGTCGGGGTTGTAGTTTCATAGCATTGCAGGGCTGCAGAGGAAGGCATTTGGGTGCCCAGAAGCCATTAAACTCTTTCCTCCCTCCTTCTTTTCCACCTCAGATCTATGAATTCACGGACTTGCTGGTGGCTGAGCACCCACAGCTCGTGAGCAAGATCCAGATCGGCAACACCTTTGAAGGACGCCCTATTTACGTGCTGAAGGTAATGGAAACCCACATGTAGGCAAATAAGGGCACACGTACAAGAGTGTGTCCTCACGTGGACTTCTACATGTGGGTGTGGGTTCTCACACATGTCCAAGGGAAGGCACTGTTTGACACACTCCCTGTGCAGACATTTGGGAAGGTCTGAGTCTCCATGGGGGAGTAGGTGGGTACATGTGTATACAAAACTTTCATTTTGAGGTGACCCAAGTGTTTCTAGTCAAGTGTCGCAACATGGGAAATAGTGTGGAATCTGGTAGTCTAGACAAAATGTTTTGCTGGCGACCTCCCACAGTGGACAATCTGAGCATCAGAATAGGGCTAGGGTCTGGAAGTAAGGCTGTGTCAGTCCGTCCTAAATTTGGGCTGAGGGCAGGAGGCCAAGCTCTGTAGGATCCCTTTCTAGTCCTCAATCCCATGCCCCACCTGAAGGACAGCTCCTCGAACAGAGCCTTGATTTTAGGTATATACAGAGGGTAGCTTCTGGCTCAAGTGGGTTCCCTTGCAGGGAGTGAACTGAGACTTGACTGCAGAGTTGCCCCTCACCCATTTCCCTGCCTCTTTCTCCAGTTTAGCACTGGAGGGAACAACCGGCCAGCCATTTGGATTGACACAGGCATCCATTCCCGGGAATGGGTTACCCAGGCCAGTGGGATCTGGTTTGCAAAGAAGGTAAGGCTGGGGATTGAGAGGGCTCTCACTTGGTAGGGAATTGGTGTTCAGAGCCCACAGAAGCTTGGACCTCCCACTTCCCTCCAGAAGCAGTGGTCACAGAGGCAGGCCAGGGAAGGTATCCATGGTACTAACATGGCAGACACTCTGCCTTCTCCTCCCCCCGCCAGATCACTGAAGACTATGGCCAGGACCCAGTCCTCACTGCCATTCTTGACAGCATGGACATCTTGCTGGAGATCGTCACCAACCCTGATGGATTTGCCTATACCCACAGCACGGTACATACTGTCTCTTGTTCTTAGGGAGTGTGGGATGTCCCTCTGCCCTGCAAGTGACCCTCAGTTGAGGAAGGGGCAAATAGGCCCATCTTCCTGGATCTGGGACTCTCAGCTTGGGCACAGCTGCCATCTTAGCCAGATAATTCTTTGTTGTTGGGGGCTGTCTATGCATGGTGGATGTTTAGTAGCCTCTTATCCTACCCCCTGGATGCTGGAAGTAACTCCCTTCCCAGTCACAATTACACAGAACATCTTCAGACACTGTAAAATGCCTTAAAAGGAACAAGCACCGCCCTCAGTTGAGATCCTGTGCTCCAGATCTGACTTCCACACTCAGCTTTTCTTTAATGGCAAATGTGGTAAGCACCTGAAAGTCCAGTGAGCTGGCTGATCCTCTTTCCTTCTTCAGAATCGCATGTGGCGCAAGACTCGCTCCCGCACACAGGGCTCCCTCTGCATTGGGGTGGATCCCAACAGGAACTGGGATGCTGGCTTTGGGGGTAAGACTTCCTATGATTTGGGGGCAGGGATGGGGCAACTCAGAATGGTTTCTTGCTCTCCTCTGTCTGGTTACCGACCCTATTCCTGCCCCAACAGTGAGGGAGGGTGCAGGCTGTCAGTCTGCCTGAGGGCTCTCTGGGTTGGAGGAGGCCCTCAGAGACTTGGGCCTTTGTAAAGAACTCCTTGATGGAGCTATGGTCTGAAAACCTCTCTTGGAAAATGTCTAGCTTAATGTTAACTCCTTTCCTCTTTGGGCATGCCTCTGCAGGAGCTAGTTTCAGCTCTAACCAAACCTGGTGGCAGAAGAAGGCAGGGCCCCAGGTGACATGCCACTGGCCTTTCCTTAGCCCACAGGAGGGGCTGAGGCCTCCCAGCACTGCACACCCCCCCAACTCCATGCAAAGAACTGAAGCTATAGAAGCCATACCAGGAAACAGATAGGAAATAGGAAATAGCAGCTGTATCCTCTGCACTCTCACAGAACCTGGAGCTAGCAGCAACCCCTGCTCGGAAACATACCGTGGCAAGTTTGCCAATTCTGAAGTGGAGGTCAAGTCCATCGTAGATTTTGTACAGAACCATGGAAACATCAAGGCCTTCATCTCCATTCACAGCTACTCCCAGCTCCTCCTCTACCCTTATGGCTACACATCAGTACCAGCCCCAAACCACAAAGAGCTGGTAATAACTCTGCTCATCGTTTTCCCAAGCTCCTTCTGTGTCCCCACTTTACCCATCAGAGCTGTATAAGGCCCGAAAGCCTACAATGTGCCCAGTGCCCTCCTTTTCCCTTGGTCCCCTAATGATTTGAGAAGACTGGCAGGATGGTTTGGGTAGACCACAAAGGTGGACTAGCCTCATTTTCTGAAATACTGAAGCATGGAATGGTTGACTCACAAAGAGGGCTAGACTTGGAACTTGTGGTGACTATACCTGGAGCTGTGGAGTGACTGAAGGGCAGGGAAGGGCCAGCCAGCCATCCTGCAGGGGCAGAAGACCACACTGCTGGCACACTAGAGGGCTGACCTGCAAGGCTAAGGAGGCGTAGGCTCCATGTCCTCTCCCAGGGACCTGTTTATGCTGGTGCATACTCCTGAGCCACTCTGTCAGGACCTGGGCTACCTTGGCCCTGATGGGTGGCCCTGCTTATGTTTTCTCTAGGATGAGCTAGCTAAGTCTGCTGTGACGGCCTTGGCTTCTCTGTACGGGACCAAGTACACGTATGGCAGCATCATTGATACAATTTGTAAGTGTCTTTCCTGGTGGACCAGGACCAGTATCAGTTGGCTCTTTTTGCCTAAGATTCCCAGATCTGGGAGAAAACCCAGACACCACCACCACCACCACCCCCGCCCCCGCCCCCATCTGAGAGCTGATTGCTGAGTCATTTGGAGGGAGGGCAGTGCCTTTTCGTGACATGAACCATGTTGTCTTTGACACTTTCAGTCAAACAAGCACTCTTGTCCCCTTATCTTGGGGTTAACGGACTTCTTACACAGATGGGGTAGAAAACTCCAATGGGACCTATAGCTCATCAGAAAATTTGGCTTAAGAAACACTTCTAACCTCCTGTACCCTATCATTAGGAAATATACTCCATCTTTTCCTTACTTACACTGTATATGAGATGCCCCTGGGAGGAACATTGCTACATCCAAGTGGAATTCGGTCAGCAGGTGTTTACAAAACACCTGCTCTGCACCAGGGCTTGTGTGCTTGGGATAGAACTGTGACTAAATATGCAAAGATCAGGAAGCATTCACTCTAGGTGAGGAAACCGACAATGTGCTTAGAAACGATAGTGTGTTAGGTGACAGATCCTTGGGAAAAACATCCCAGTGCAGGCAAGGGGTGTCGGGAGTACTAGGGTGGAGGCTGAATACCAGGGTAAGGATCAGGCTTACAGAGAGGAATTTGGGCTAATGTTGAAGGAATAAGGGTGAGCCAGGAGGCCATCTGTCTAGGGAAAGGGCCTCCAGGCAAAATAACTTTCTAGAGCAAAGGCTGTGCTATGTGATATGGTCTGGGGTGTTTGAGGAAATAGCTGCTTTAAAGTACTGGCAGGCAAAAGCAGGATACAGGTACCAGGGTGGGAGAGGTACATAACTAACCTCACATGCTTCTTGGCCAACATGCCCAGATTTTGTATAGTGAGCGGGTCACAGTATTACCTAAGGAGGAACTTGTTTGGATCCCAGGCTTTCTTCGTTAATGGTTTCAAACCTGAGTCAGAGGATTTTGCTGTAGTGTCCTGAAGTTAAATTCTGATATGTACCCCGCCTCCCTTTCCTACTGCCCAATTCAACAATGGTGGCTTTGCTAACCAGTATGCCAAACCTGGGAGATTTTTCTCGTAGAAGAGGCTTTTGCTTTGACTCAGAATCTTTGCACTTTCCTCTGCAGACCAGAACCCTTGGGGATCAATTCCATTACCCAAGCAGGGCGTTCTGGCATGTTTAGAGGTGTCATTGAGGTGACTGTTGGGGTGGAGAGAGTCTTCAGACAAGCTTTTGTAATTACACAGACTTTTTGGCATCCCCTTAGGATGAATAGAGTAACCATTGCTGTTTACTGGTCTCCTCTCTGGGCCTCTTGGGTTTAGACCCAGTGGGAGTTTCCTGGAAGCTGGGCTGTTTGTCAATAGCATCCTCCAGTACATAGACTCTACTTGGCATTGCACAAGGCTCTGAATTTTGGGTGCTGACTCAGCCCATCTGGATATGTCCAGTGATCAGCCCCTGCTCTTTCCTGTTTCACTCCTGTCCCAGATCAAGCCAGTGGGAACACCGTTGATTGGACCTACAACCAGGGCATCAAGTATTCATTCACCTTTGAGCTGCGGGACACTGGGCGCTATGGCTTTCTGCTACCTGCCTCACAGATCATCCCCACAGCTAAGGAGACATGGCTGGCTCTTCTGACCATTATGGAGTACACTCTCAACCACCCCTACTGAAGCACCCCTTCAGCACCCTCCTCTTCCTCCTCTCCAGCCCCATTCAGGCAACCAAATAAAGCTTGATTGTACAAGGAGCAGAATCTTGGGGGCTTGTGTGTGGAATGCTCATGGCATGCCCACCTTTCTAGCTGGGGCAGAAGTCATTTATTTCAAGCAGGTCTTAATGGAAATGTATGGGTGGCTGAACTAGATGACCCCTAAATTCCCTGGCATTCCAGGGTCCCATGAAGTTGTATCCAAGAGGCCTCTGTTTTAATTAGACCACCCTGAGCTCAACTTGCCAGTTGGGTGATTTGTTCATATCTTAGTGGCAGGTGGCAGCCATAGCTGCTAACCAAATGCCTGGCATCCCATGGTGGCGAGGAATTCACCATGTGCCAGTCCAGCTGGTTGTGTCCATCCACCTCTACCTATTTATCAATAACCTACAATATGGACTATAATAATCCTGGTGGCCACTGCTGTCCAAAGGAGATGATGCAGCCCAGTCAAACACATTAGTAGACAGTAAAACATGGCCTCCCGCTCCTGAATTAAAGAAAATGAAGTGAAATGAAATCAATTACTGAAGATAAGGAACATATGCTCATCCAGAGATGTTCATTGTGTATCAGGAAGCTTTGCCTTGCAGGGTAGAGGTGGTTCACTTTTAATTTTCCAGATCCTTCACAAGATTCCCTAGTGCATCACCTCTGCTCCCTCATTTCTGTCCCTCACCTTCCCATTTTCCTGTCCATGACCCTGACACCTGTGATGGCTCACTTACAGGCTACCACCATAATACATGAAGTAGCTCACCTTTTATTTTCTTTAAGGCAAGAATCTACCTTTGTTCTCTCTCTCTCTCTCTCTTTTGGTCTTTTTGAGACAGGGTCTCCCTGTAGTCCCAGCTGACCTGGAACTCCCTATGTAGACCAGGCTGGCCTTGAACTCACAGAGATCTACCTGTCTCTGCCTTCCAAGAGCTAGAACTAAAGGCGTTTGCCACCACGCCCAGCAGCCCATTTTCTTTAAGGCAAGAATCTACCTTTGTTTTTTCTGTATCTTTTAGATGAGAATGTGGAGTTGGGCGTTACTGCTAAGGAAGGAGGTGGGTTAATATGCTCAGGGGGCTAAGGTGAGGCTGGGGGCTGTCTCTGCCACTCAGATTTCAAGATCTTTAGCTCTGCTGATTTGAGCCTTGTCTTTTTCACATAAAATGGCTTGAAGGTCAAAATCATTTTTTTTAAAGAAACAATTTTCACATTGAAATTCTATTTTAATATTGTTTTTCCTATCAAAAATTCTTTAAAAAAATGAAAGAATGAGGCTGATTATACAGAGCCAACTTCTGCATACAAATATGAGATAATGTGAAAGGGAGTTTCTAGCCCAGTGGGGTGCAATTCTAGCACTAGGGAGACAGAGGCAGGAAGACTGATCCTCACCTGGTTGCAAGACCCTGTCTCAAAAAAAAAAAAAAAAGAAAAAAGGAGGTGGGGCGGGTTTCAGTCTTTACAGAGAGCTGATTTGGTGATACTCTGGGAAAACATTTTCCTTCAAGCTATGCAACAAGAGTCTGTAGATAAGTCAAAGCCTTATTTTAACTATTTAGTTGGCCAAGTAGGAAGCTAGTCATCTTTTGTTTAATATACCAGGGAAAGAGAGGCAGGGGGATCTCTGTGAGATGGAGGTCAATCTAGTATGGTCTACCTAGTGAGTTCCAGGACAGCTAGAGCTACAGGGAGACCCTGTCTCAAAAAAACAAGACTGGTAAGAAAAAATATTAGGTTATTATGATGACATATTGTGTTGGATAGCTTTAGTGTCAACTTGACACACCTGGGTTGAGGGATCCTCATTTGGGGAATTGTCTCTATTGGACTGGCCTGTGGCCATGTCTGAGGGGCATCTTCTTGATGAGTGATGTGGGAGGGCCCAGCCCACTG